AGATAAACTGAAATAGACGCGAGAAGTACGCTGCGTCGCCAACTATGCATTCGACCCCAGAGGGTTAAAGCATGTGAGCAGAGCAATATTCGGACCATAAAACGCAGTGACTTATTCTCCCCTCTTTTGGGGGAGGAAAAGGTGCGTCTTATGGTCCGAAAAATACGGTAATCACAGAAATATGCATATTACTGCTATAATTTGTTTTATTTACGTGGTTCAAGATTCTAGAATTAAATATTTCTTTTTCTAAGTACATAACTGGTTTAATTTACTTCTTTTTTTTAAAATATATACATATATTTAGAATTGGAGTGGTATAACATATGTCTCTGTCCCCCCCCCCTTTTTTTCCTGTGAAGAACACAGACTGTGAAAGCAGTGAAGCTGCAATGATGGAGACAATGTTTGGAATCTATGTCATACGCAAAGAAGGTGCAGAGCCATATGATGAACCGGAAGATGTAGATTCTGGAGGGTGTGCAAGTTCTGGATGAGTTGGAAAATGTAACACTTGCTGTGGTCATGTTGTTCGTACTTGTATACGCTCTGAATCTCAGCTACCCTCCAGAGCTGAGATACACGTTTGAGGCTTTGCAGAAAATTATCATGGAGCTTAATGGAGACAGACTGTCCAAAAAAAATCAAGCACTGAAAACTTTACTTGCACGTTAGTCATCATCAATAGTGACCTAGGAGTTACTCTTACGGGAAGGCAGTTGACGAGTAATTTGCTTTTAAAAAATGGCGAGCTGTGTTTGTGTTTTACTACTTACAACTGTTGCTATTTTTGGGTTAGAAAATAGAATAATATTGTGAAATGTCTCTTTAAAAGGAAAAAGGTGTTTTCAAAAGGAAACTACTGCATATTAAAGTGCTGAATGTGAAAAAGACACAGTATAAGGATGCACAATGCTATATTTTCAGTTTGTCCTCAAACATTTTTTTGCCAAGACCACATTCTGTTTTTGTATAGTTTTTTTTTACTGAATGCATTTTGTATGTTGATGTTGAATATGAGTAATATGTTAACCTGGGACAGGCTCAAACAGTGGGCTCCAATTTTCTAGCTCAGCAGTTACAATTTTTGCTTGTCTGTCTGCTTCAAAAAAAAAAAACAAAAAAAAACAGACGACAATGTACAGTTGGTAGGACTTTGAAGTCTGCTTGTTGTGTTTTCACAGCGACATTTTTTCAAGCATTCGCTAAATCAGTGTTTCCTTTTCTGGTAAAGTTTTATTCCAACAAATCCTGTTTGCTTTGTGTTTTTCTTTTCCAAACTTCACACCAGCCGAGGGTAAACTAGATTAACATGTTTAAATTCCTGACTATACACTCACCTAAAGGATTATTAGGAACACCTGTTCAATTTCTCATTAATGCAATTATCTAATCAACCAATCACATGGCAGTAGCTTCAATGCAGGTGACTGTGGGGGCCATTGTAGTACAGTGAACTCATTGTCATGTTCAAGAAACCAATTTGAAATGATTCGAGCTTTGTGACATGGT